ATGATCCATCAATCGCAGAAGATCCTTATCTTCCGCGTATGCCTTTCGTACGTCGTCAAGTAAACTTGACGACGGGACACTGACTGACAGTGTCGCAACAGTGGGCTTATCCTCACTGTTGGATTGTGCGTCCGGCTCGAAATCGGGCCGGCGCGAAAGCGCATCAGCGACGACATTGAGTCGTCCCGGTTTATACTCCACGGAGAAGTTATACTCCGCGAAGAAAGACAGCCACCTCGCCATCCTTTGCGAGAGGTGTGGGCTGTTTACGGCCGTGCGTAATGACGCATGGTCCGTATAGACAACAAACGGTCTATCTCCCAAGAGATAGACGCGAAACTTAGCCAGTGCGTACTTCATGGCAAGGAGTTCCTTGTCATGCACTGGGTAATTGCGCTCAGCTGCTTGCAGCTGACGCGACTGATAACAGATGACGCGCTCCGCGCCATCTGCATCGAACTGCATTAACGCACAGCCGATTGCAAAATCGCTGGCGTCACAGACCACATGAAATGGTCTGTCCTGATCTGCAATCGCCAAGATCGGCGATTGCATCAAGCTTTGCTTGATACCTTCAAAGGAACGCTGGCACTCAGCGTTCCATGACCACTTGACATTTTTCTTGAGCAGACAAGAAAGATGAACAGTCATCTCGGCGTAGTTGCGCGAGTACTTGTGCAAGTACGCCGCAAGACCAAGGAACTTCCTTAGTCCCTTGACATCGACTGGCACTGGCCAGTCGGTGATCGCCTTGATCTTTTCGGGATCAGGGCGTACGCCGTGTTTACCCACGATGCACCCAAGAAGTGGTATTTCGCTAGCCGCGAATATACACTTCTTGAGGTTGGCGTACAACTTATACTTGCGCATAAGTTGAAGAACCTGACGAACGTGAGTTCTGTGAACTTCAACGTCCGTCTTTCCGTCCATAGCCCGGCTATGGACGAACACATCGTCGAAGTAACTCGGTGCGAAGTCTCGCACCGGTCTCAACAGATTTGTAACACATCTGTTGAATGTTGCAGGGGCATTACTCAGCCCCTGTGGCATCACTAGCCACTCCCACAGCATCCCGCTGGGGGTACTCACTGCCGTGAACGGGATGTCCCGTTCACGCATCAGGATCTGATAGAATCCATCCATCAGATCCATGGACGAAAAGATGGTACTCTTTGACATACCATCTATGATTACGTCCTTCCTCGGTATCGGCGTCTGAGCCGGTACCGTTGCAGCATTCAATTTGTTGAATGCGTGCACTATCCGCCATCCTCCTGTGGCCTTTCGCACACAGAAGGTCGGAGAGCTGTGAGGGGATGTTGATTCCCTCACATGGCCCGCTGCTAAGCGATCGGCAAAGAACTTGTCGATCGCTAGTACTTGTTCACGAGGCAGTGGCCACTGCTTCATGACACAATACTTCGAGCCCGGTTTGAGCTCGATCTCGTGTCGAGTGCCTTTGTCCTTAGGCAACTCGCAAGGTACGGATTCAGGGAACACATCCCTGAATTCGATCAAATCCTTATACAAAGGATTTGCCTGAAGTGACTCCCAGGATTGAGACGCGTATCGCTCAATCCGAGTCTTCTCATCGAGGACACTTTCGTCCATCGATGAGCTGCTGAGAACCCGTTCGTTCTCAGCAAATACTGTTGCCGACCGAATATCGGTCACATACTCATCCTCTGTGACGAGTATGCAGATCTGCTTGACTTTGCCACTACGCAGATCACGCAAGAACCGTTTCGGTTCTAGCGTTGGCAACTGAGTTATCTCCGAAGTCAACTTCGGAGGCACAATCAGATCAAGCGTATAAGCGCCTACGCTTGATCCGTCATTAACCAAGACGTTCAACGTCTCGGTTTCTTCCTGGGAACTTGCTTCCACAGGTTGCTGAAGGCCTAATCCCTCAGCAAGCGACTCTTGAGGAATTCCTTCCTCAAGTACGTGGGGACTTATTCCCTCGACGTCTTCCGACTGTGGCTGTGCAACCACAGTCAGGCACCGATCCTCTACGGTCGACTCTCCAGTCGACCTAGGATTTTCATGTTGCCCCTTGGGGGCAACAGGTTTCTTTCTTCTAAGATGCTGCCCGCTAGGCATGCATCCATGTCCCGGTCCACTCGACTTATTCGAGTGGTGGACCTTCGGCGCAGCCTGTACATCTGTACAGCCGCCGGGAGCTTGCTCCACAGTGTAGTGATCAACTACACTGTGATCTTGTGCAGTCGTGCTAACGACCGTACCGCAAGTGAGGCCATCGCACTCACTCGCAGAACATCCACACGCTTGTGGACGCTCCAAGATGTTCATCAGATGGCCATCTGATGAACAAGCGGCAGGCATCTTCACGGATCGATGCTGCCAGCTCACCCTTGGCTCGTACTTTCTGAGCCAAGGTAATCCCAGGATGACATCAAATTTGTCATCCAGATCTAGTACGATGAAGTCATCATCGTACTGTTCGCCCTCTAACGTGTAGTGGATTCCTACTACACGTTTCTCAACGGTTATCGATGCGCCTGTTGCAAGGCGCACCGTCATCCTTGTGAGGGGAATGTCGCGCTCAACGAACTTGAGCCTACGACCCTCTAGTGACTGGCGACGAACAAAGTTGTTCGACGCCCCACAGTCTACTAGGGCACGAAGCGACAAATCATTTGTCGCTTCCAACTTCAAGGTGATGAGCGAAACGTCATCACCAGGTGCAGAGACACACAATGATTGTGTATCTGGAGCAACTTTCGTCAAGAGATTTGCAAATTCTCTTGAGGTTGCTGGATCAGTAGGGCGCTCCGCCCCTACTGACCCCGACCATTTTTTGATGGTCCGTCTCGCTGTTGCGGCTTCGCAACAGCGCTGGACCCACGCCCATTGCCCTTTCTGGCAAATGGTCGTCCATTTCGCTCAGTACTGTTTGGTACTGGGCGTGGAGCACTACACTCGTATGCGTAGTGCCCTAACTTCTGACAGCGATTGCACCTCTGCAATCGCTTGTTGTTTGAAGAGCGAGGTCTCTCGCTCTCAACATAGCAGAGGTCCATTGGTTCTGGACCTCCGATCTCTTGTCGTCTCGGTGGACGATAAGAGTTTGAGCTAGCATGAGCCTGTCTCATGCTAAAGTCTTCCTGTTCCGCGGCTGATATCGCTTCTTCAAGCGTATTCAGCTCAAGGCGGAACAGATGGCTCCTGACGGGCCCTTCTGCGAGCCCTTGCATGAACACCGTAATCAACGTGTGTTCATGAACTGGGTTAGCAGTTATACTACTCGCAAGGAGTCGTATATGTTGTGCGTAAGCGTGCACATCACGCTTACCCTGCTTGAGTTTCAGGAGCTCTGAACGAGCCCTGAACTCAGCACGTGGCGGCTCAAACGTTTGTCTGAGCCGGGACTTGAAGTCATCTAGCGACCTAAACACATTTGGGTCGCTACTCTCGAGTCCCAGGGACCAAGTTTTGGCACGCCCTGCCAAGTGGGTCTGAGCAAATGTGAGTTTCATTTGCTCATCTTCGACGCGACGAGCCCTTAGGGCTCTGTCGAGTTCGACAAACCATAGTAACAGGGAGTCCTCCGGGACTCCACTGTACTTGGAGATGTCAACTTTCATGACTTCGGGACGACGCGCATGCGCCGTCCCGCCCACAGCAGCATGGAATTGCTGCTGTCTCAACAGCTCCGTCTGTTGAGCACCGAGTTCTCTCAACTGCTCGGCCTGTTGAGAGCCTTGCTGGTGAAGCAAGGCTACTTTCTCCCTCTCGAGAGCAAGTTCATTCTGAATGAACTTGGCGATAGCAGCATGTTGTTGGTCTCTGTCTAGAGACTCCAACATGGCGCTAACGACGAGATCGCCTACGGTAGAACTCATTCGTTCTACCGCACCCCATTCGATGTCACTCAAATGGGTAAACCCTTCACGCGTGGCGTGAAAGGTGTCTTCTTCATCCAACATGTTCATGTTGGATGATGTGGTCCTTGGAAGGACTACAAAGTGCTACCAGGTGTAACGGGGCACACCCTTGCGTAACTTAACGCAAGGGTTTTGGGTGCCCCGACGGACGTACACGTGGCAAGCGAGGAAGCGTAGGTAGGGTAAAAGTAGAACTGTTATATTAATATAATTAAGTCTTTAAACTACTGTCTCTTCGTTTGACTTAGTTTAACTATACTAATATAACTGGATGTATGGTGACGTCTCGTCACCACTCATTGCGCGCGTCTTGCGGCGATTGGTGGGTTGATATCATCACGATATCAACCAATGAACAGACCCTTTGGTCGACCCTTCAATATCACCACTTTGGTGATATTGTTTAAAGAATATCCATCTTTATATTCTTTATTGTCACTTTCCTTTAAAGTGACAATTTCATGTAACGGGCTGCCCCGTTACAACCTCACGCGGCCAACTCTCATGCGTATCGAAACTGTTATAGAAACAAGGATGCGTGTTCTTGCTGAGCTAGAAGACAAAACGAGCGACAAGCTCATCGTTGCCATTTGATCAGCCAAACGAGTACGGTAAGTCGACCTCAATGATCATACGCTCATGGGTCATTTGCTTTCGGTAACAACGACAAGGCAAATGCTGCACTAGACGGCAGTCTCTGCAAATTTTGTTTCGCACGGATCAGCAGCGTCGTGGGATGGCAACTTAGAAGCGCGATGCGCTTGACCAACACATAGAGTCGTAGCGGTTCTCTCGCACGAATGGGCATTGTGGCCTAGCCCCTTCCACTATGCGGTCAATTGTGATTGTTACGACCAAAACACGCTATTGATGTTTACTTCATCGCAGTATTCGTTCAATCGAACCGGCTTGCTTTGTCATGCAGTAGAAAGTTACAGGACTCACGAGAAAAAGGTAGAACAAGAACATAGAAGGACTCAATTAACGGAAATGTAAAGTGGCTCGTGCTCCACTGTTCCTCGCTCACTCGCCCGCCCGCCCACCCACTCGAACGAAAACGACACATCGTAGATCCAACACCCAGATCGCCGCTTACAGTGGCGAAAAGTTGACCGAAGTGTTGCGTTTCTTCGAGGATCTGTATCGGTAGCGGGTGACTACACGGTCATTCAGAGGCTGCACCGAGCGAGCGTTGTCGCCGTCGTCCGTGATGTGGTACTCAACCAGGTCCTGGTGAAGACGGCCAAAGTCAATGGCGGAGATCCTGATCGGGTTCTCCACCACCCACCAGTCAGCATTTTCTTCACACCCAGGAGTCGTCAGACTGCCAGCGTAGTTGTAGACACCACCTATCACCGCGGCCTTCCTCACCAATTCAAAGTAGGAGTTTCTGCACACGGATTGACAATGAAAAAGCTGTTAAAAGACGTCACGAAAGCATGATGTCGTGCACAGTAAACGTACAGATCGACGACAAGGGCATCGGTCTTAGTTGTGGTGCTGTTGACCAGCTCCAACGCGTCTAGAACGGGCTTTAGCCACTCGTCCGTAACAGGGCCAACCTTGAGGAAGATTCCCACCACTAGCAGCGCCTCGCTGTCACTCGTCGCGTGTACGAAGTGGATCTCGCCGTCCAGATGGACTCCGTTGATAGTGTGCTCCGAAGGAGTATGGAGGTGGAATTGCTTCATGCTGTACTCCTCACCTTGCAGCGTAACACCACAGTCGCCTGGATGCACAATCAATAAATGGCGTTAAAAGTTACCGCGCAGCCAAGATGCATGTGAAAAAGTAGTGACGGGCGCACCTCCTGCAACGTCCACCTCGAGCGGTTCGTGGGGATCCGTCAGGTTGTACGTGGGGCAGCGTCCGTGAAACTCGAGTGGTAACGTCCTCGATCTGCGAGACCTGGGAGTCGTGTCGATGTCAATGGGAGACTGATGCGTGCCACCGCATGCTGGCCAGTTGGTTTTCCACGTCGAGGTGTGCACCATGGTCTTGTCCTTAGCGCGATACCCCCAAGTGGGGCTCATGGCGACACCGGCGGAAACATATGAGGCGCTAGCCGCGATGGCAGCCGCGACGAAAATGACGGTCTTCATCTCTCGGGACGTAGTGAAGGCTGAGTCAAACAAAGGAATGAGAGAAGTGCGAAGTTGAGCGACAAACGAGGAATGAGAAACGAACGCAAAGCGCTTCATCGCGGCAGACGCGGCGCGAACGAAGAAGTTGGGATTCGAAAAAGCGCAGTGCTCGCAATGCTGTTTCTATCGCATGTTGGACCTTTGCGTTGCAGATGCTGGTCCACCTTTTACACGTGACCACGTTGTTCATATACGTACTGTTTGGTCTCTCGTTTTTTGCGGTTTCTCTGAAAACAATCACTGTAGCGTATGTTAGCCGCACAGATGGGTCTGTCGTTTGAGCGTAAAACCTTCGACTGAATAGCGGTGTTAGCAGCTATAGCAACTTCAGAGGCTGGTCGTCTATTCCGTCGGATGTTCGGACGTTACATGGTCGGCTGGTTGATGACCAGCAGCGTACTAGTAGACTGAAAGTGGCAGCAAGATCTCTCTCATGGTCACAGATGGTATCAAGGGTTGATCTTGTCCATGCAGATGTAAATATAGTCACAGCTGTGTGTACCACAAGTGGACGAAGAGTGGCAAGAGAGCACGCTAGGACGAAGCCGCGAGCCAGAACTTTGTCGACTATACCACCATCACTTGCTTTCTGATTGCTCTACTAATGCGCTGTGTTTCGTTGAGCTGTAAATCGCAGAGCTTGTACAACATCGTGTCGATGCCAGATGAAGAAGGAGGATCGACTACTAGGCTATGGTGTGATACTAGAAACGAACATCCTACATCTGACAAGAAGGGTACTAGTAGGGTATTTCGTGCTATCGTTGCCAGTGTGGCTGCAGACAGTAGATTTATGACAAAGTCATCGTGGATACGGGAACGTAACACGCGGAAAGCGCCCTTGGCATATTCGCAGACAGATGCGTTAAACGAATGTATAGCCAGCCTTGTGCAATTTGCACACGACGAATAGGCCCGAACTGAGAAAGAGGTCGATCAAGAATGAGGCTTACTTCACTAAAAGGGTTGTAACGAGGCGCAACGGACATCTCATAATAGTTTGTATCGATCATTCCACCCATCTACGAACGAGTCACAAGATCACTGTAGGGCCGACACATATGAAATCAAAAGTGGTAGAAAAGCAGAGTTGCTACGGATCGCAAATGAAGTACGTAGAAACGGTGGGTGCAACGCGCACACACGGCGTTTTTTCCGCTATCGACAGTACACGATGTGCCGATGGACACACAGTGCATCTTGGTGCTGTCGACTAAGATTTGCAGCAAGATAGACCACGCCATTTTTAGAAGCGGTAGCGCTAAATTATGCGTCGACCACAATCTCAATTGCGGCGCTGCGTGTTGGAGTCGTGAGCGCTAATCGATCACAAAATGACGAAGGCAGTGCAATCACCTATGCCACGGTGCTTCATGTAAAAACATCTATACCGTGTGCTTCGTTCAGACTTTTTTTATCGTTTGTGATCAAATGTAGAAGATTGTGTCAGTGCGGACGAACAATGAACTTGTCCGTGACGGAGCTGGCTTAGAACAATTACAAGTATAACTCGAGCAGTAGAGCAATTAGAAAGCAAGTGATGGTGGTATAGTCGACAAAGTTCTGGCTCGCGGCTTCGTCCTAGCGTGCTCTCTTGCCACTCTTCGTCCACGTGTGGTACACACAGCTGTGACTATATTTACATCTGCATGGACAAGATCAACCCTTGATACCATATGTGATCATGCAAGGGATCTTGCTACCACCGCATGACTGATGAACTATCTGTCGTACTCCATTTAGCCTAAACATGTTGGTCACAGGAGCTGTATGATTTGCAACCACTTTGAGCACATCATACCTGATCGCGCCAGCTGCCTTTTGCTTGAAATTGGACGTGCGCTAACTACATGATCAATAACTTTGTGGTACGTATTTAATGGTACCTCGATAGAGTGATTATTGACCTATTACGGAAAGTAAGAAAGGTGTGTTTACTTAGGTACATGCATGATCGCAGACAGATCTGTCACATCCACTTGTTTACTTCTTTAATGCTGAAACATGATCCACCAAATGATTGATCGCAGTCTTTTGTTATGATGTGATTTCTTTCGTGTCCGAACCCGAACTTGTTCACGCAACAGTAGACAAGCTAGAACGAGTTGACGGACGGTTTGTCCTTTGCAGCTTATAACAAAAGAGGCGTTAATTGGAATGAAATGCATCAGTCGACGGCCGACAAGCCCGACAGTACATAGTGAGTTCTAAAATTCTGTACGCATGAGGGAGATGCATTGACATCAATACACAGGCTATGGCGCGTATACAATTACAACTGCGTGTCGGCATGAGTTGTCGCTTATCCGAAGGCATGGAGGAGATACATGGACGGCCCACTCCAGCCAGCAATTGATTCGGCAGGTGTAGCAGAGCAACTTGCTTCTAAAGTGGGCTCACTTTGTGTGAGTTGGTCCACACAGTTACCACATTGCACTGGTGGAAGCGTGCGAGTGAATGAAACAAGTCCACTCTTGAGGTAAGACTGAAGATCATGTTGCATACAGCTAAATACGCCGAATGAACGGTAATTGCTTCTGGTTCACCTTTGCGTACATACAAACACAAGCATCGAGTCTCGTTCATTCGTCGCGGATTATCTTTATTCGATTGATGATATGCTTACAGATTTCATAGCCGGCACAAACCAGCAAGGAATTATTTCTAACGACGATTGTCATGGGCTCTAATCAATGGATTGGAATTTTGTTATCACTAAATAAATTGATGACATGTAACAGGCCTTCTCCGTTTCAGCAGGCGCGCAAAATTCTGATTGTATGTTGGAATCTATCGATTTGAGTAAGCACGCCAGCTGATCCGTCTAGCACCTAATCCGACGCTTGACGTCTATTTTACGTGCGCTTCTACATAAGCACTTCCAGTTTCTCCAGGACTTCGATTTGTTTCGGCTTACGCATATACCTCTCGCCTTCAATGTAATGCGTCTCTGCTTTCGCATGTGGACTTTCGCGGTCGGACTTTTGCCTATAAAAATTCGCTTTGACTTCGTCTTGGACTCATTGGCTGCTTACTGGTTTCATCACTGCTATAGTGGGCTGACGTCTCTTCTCTATGGTCACTTCTTACGCCGATTTCGCGTCACCTGAACTCTAGTCGTATTATCGGGATCGCGCCATGATGGCAGGGCCCTTGCACCTCGAACTACGACTGTTTCACCGCTACTATCGGGTATATTTTCCACTTTCTGATTTGCGACCTACCGCACAAGCGACGCTTCGACTGATTTGGGCATCTGGGAAGGGAGCCATACAACAAGCCTACCAAGCGTGATTTACGTCGCTGCCAGTCAATATGTCTCGAAAGAGACACACAGGATCGAATCAGTTCACCGCCTACGAGCATCTGGAAGAGACTGCCCTTGATGATGCCATCGATCCAGAAGACCCCGGTGATAGCGGTGCTGAGATTCTGGGCTCGGTATCGCATCATACTGTCGTGGCGCCTTCTATCCAGTCCCCTGCGTTTCAACCGGGAGCCGTTAGTGGTGTTGCGTCTCCTGCACTACCGGTTACTGCAAACGCCTGTCCTCGTAGTCTTCCTGAACCGGCTTCGACTTGATCCAAGGCATGCGTTTCCAGACTCTTCGCCAGAAAAGACCCTCTGCCGTCGATGGGTAATTTATTGTAAGAGGGTTACACAACATGGTGTGTTTAACGGGTTACATAATATGTGTGGTACACAAAGGTCGGAGTCCCATTAAAATTGATATTAGAACACCGTATCAGTTGTCTGGGGCTGACGTGTGTCAGCCACGGAATTATTTGACCTTTTAGGAGGTATTAATTAGAACAGTAGCGACTAGGTTATGTACGTTGTTCTGAGGTGTTCTTTTCGATAAACAGGATCAAAGTTCAGTTCCCATATTGATCAACATAAGACACGTGTCTCATGAGGCGTCTTGATCGTAAGAGCTAGCAACGCTTGTGAAGGTAGCTGCTCATGAGAACTCTGTGCTGTGAATTTTTTGAATCGTTTGGTCCCCCTGTAACAGGGACCGTAAGTTCTTTGCGCTTGTTGACTCTCTGACTCGAGATCTTTGAACCAAAGTTGCTCGTAGAGCGTAAAGTCTTCCTCTGACTCAAGGCGCTGTGTAGCGCCGCTACAATGGGTAGCACTTGTATTCAATATATACCTGAGTTGTTACGACTGATGCTCTGTAAGGATGGAGCAATCCACACATCTCACTGTGGCCCAAAAGGTTGCGCTTGATACGCTGAACGCGGTCATGGGCCCAGAATATGTTGAGGACTTAGCTGCGCAAGGTCCCGACGTGCTCAATGCACGAGTCGAGAACTTCATGAAGTATGAAACGGCCTTTTTATGGCAGGTTCAAAACCAAGTATCGTCGGATATGCCGACACGCTACGTGGCGATGCCAGATGAAGAGGTTAAGTCTCGTCTTCTTCGGGTGGACGTTAAAGATTACTCCGGGAAGGAGAGGAAAAATCCCGTCCTCTCGATCCGTGAGATTGAGATGGCCATGAGCTCTGGCCTCATCTCACTGGAGTACCAGCGGGTCTCTCTGGCGATCTCCAAGCTCAATGGAAGAGCTAGAGAGTGGGCTCTGACGTGTGGCACGTCAGTCGACTTGGCGTTTCCCACATTGGATTCGCTCAAGTTAGACCTTTTGCGAGTTTTCTCGACGCCTAACCAGGCTTACCGCGTGCACTCACGTTTCTCGTCTACCCGTCAGGATAAATATGAGTTAACGGAATATGTCCAAGAGTTGAGAACTCGTATGGCTGCTATGCAGTCTGACCCTCTCCCTGAGACAGTCTATGTAACTGTATTCATGAAAGTTCTTCGTAATGCCGTCGTCAAGACCGAGGTGTTTCGGGTCCATCCCTCTACTTATGAGGAAGCTGTTATCATCGCTCAAAATGCTAAGCACAACTTCAGGTCGGCCAAACTTGGTTGAAATGAGTACAACCCAA